TTGGTTATTTGGTTTTCTATTTAAATCTATAAAAATTGATTCAATCGTTTCATAACTTTATTTGGGTAGAATATTTTACACTCACAAATTATTTAGAATTACAAAGCTGAAAAATAAATTGGAGGTGAGTGGGGCAACGTCGCTCTGACAGGTCTTCGTTGAATGTTTCATCGAATTAGTTGGGTATTTGCACATGGGTTTAAGCTTTCCCTAAAGAAGAAATTGAATTGTACGATTATAATGAATTTAGGAAGGGTGATTATATCCAATATTTATCTTCACGCCACATTACCACTCAATTCTCTTATTTGCTATGATTCATGAAATTTTCCAAAAAAACTTATGTCGATTTTTAGAAATACTTTGGAGGGAGTTATCACAGTTTTAAGAAAAACAATTTAGTAAGAAATTCTGGAACTTCTACTTCAATATTCCTTGAAAAAAATTTATTAGATTAATAAATTTATTATTAGCAGCCCATATAATTTTTAGCAATGGTGGGAAAATAAGGTTTTTGTCATTTGATGCTATAATTCTGTAATAATTTCAACAGGATTGTAATAAATGGTTATCGACTGATATGAGATTATCTTAATAATCATACTTATAACAAAATATGCTTCTGATTGATTGAGGATTAATAAAAAAATAATAGCACATGCTGAATATATCAGATGGTATGGCACTGTATATTTTTGATATGCGGTTTGATAAACGGTTAATCATAAACGTGTAAAAAAACAACATCACTTTATTAATTTATTGATATAATATCAAATTATCTTAAGGTGGTTCATTTTTATTACAAACGTGGGATTCAGAGCGATTGAGATGAGTAGGAATATATATTTCTACAATATATAATATATAATCTGTAGGAATAATACTTGTATAATATATGAATATATAATATATAATGTGTAGGAATAATCTTTGCTAATAAAATATTGCTGCAGAGGCGAAGATTGTGCATGAGCAAACGACAAGATAAATACCTACTGATTATGGCGATAACGCTTTATCGCAAACAACTGCTCATAAATGGCCCATTTTAGCTCAGTAAAATTTTGCTACATATTTCATGCATTTTAATTAAAAAAAAATTTAATGGATTATATTCCTACATATCAAATCGCTACCCAGGAAAAGCGCCGAAAATTAGAATAAGGTTTCTTTTTGCAAAATTTTTTTTAATTAAATTTTACCAAAATTTTTTTTTTTTTGGCCACAATAAAATTTAAAGTTTACCGTCGTTATAACTTCTCGCTTGCCGTATTCATTGGACATGGATTATTTCTTATTTTCGGTCAAAGGATAGAATATTTCAATTGATTTGAGTAAAGTAATATAATTACGACAAACGTGATAGGTTGATATGTGTATGATATCAAATATTTTATTGAAATTTCTTATAATATTTAGCAACTATTTTGAGAGAAACATACTTACTTGTGACCATAACTGAGCATTTACTATTAGACCATTTAGTCGTGGAGCTATTATCCATAATAATATATATTTATAATACAGAGATTATTCTTCTACGATATAAAATATTACTTCGATGTAAAAGAAGAATGGCATTTAATTCTCTCTAAAAATCTTTAAATATTGATCTATGGTTAATATTGCACAGAAACAATTGATTTTCAAAAGGTGAAAAATATCATTAAAGCGTTATCAGTTCTTATCATTTCATTCGCATATATTGAACCGCTCTAATCAAAAATATTAATAAAAATAAAAGAAAATCATAAAATTATTATAAAACGAAAATTTTTGCAACAAATTTAAATATTTCAAATTCAAAAGATTTAGCCAAAATATGCATGGAAAGAAACGAACCTTTTTTTCCTCATGGTTATTTAAGTATAGGTGAATAGAGCTAGAGGTGAATCCTCAGCAGCCAGACGGATAACAGGACACTTCAGTCAACATTTTACTGAAGGATGATGGTCCATCCAAGCCGTGTTGCTTTCTCTCACTCAAAGCTACGACTAAATCCAAAAAATGACTAGTTCTGGTTGATATTTTAAAGCACAAAAACTTTCCAGAGAAAATCTTTGTAAGTTTCTACAGTTTTGCGACTGTATCGAAGGCTTATGAAAATATCCCTGAATATAAGCTACTATTTGTCGAAGTGCTATGGTTGTTTCGATACGCTTTCAGCATCTCTAATCCGATTCCATGACTTTGGTAAGACTAAACTAGTCATTAAAAATTCCAATGTCGGCATCCAACTTATGCTCTCATCATTGAATGTCTCGCTGGCAAAAATAACTGCACTAACAGCCAGAAGAGTTAGCCTAATTAGAAGCAATCAGCGCTAATTACTTATATAAACATACCGAAGCACGTGCGTGAGCTTACCAGAAAAATATTTGTTTTTGAAAAACAGTCGAAAATAATAAAATACTCAGCAAAACTCAACTCTGGTGGTTGATTTTTTCCTGTTGAAACGCCTAAACGCCTAAAATCATTTCTCGCGAAATAATCAAATACGAAATCCTCGAATATTCATTAAGGATTCACTTATATCACTTCTAATCGGCAAATGATTCTCAAATCAAAAGTTCTCATCCTATTAGATTCACGAATGAAATGAGCTTGAAAGAAGACCCGATTAATTCGAATTCATAAAAAAATTTTAAAAATTCCATAATTTACAAAAGAAATTAACGAAATACTAATGAAATTTTCTAGAGAAATTTCGAAAAATATCACAAAAAAATTGGAAATATTGATTTCCATAGTGCAAAATGAATTATTGTCGTCGTTGTCACCGTCCGAATAACTGTTCAAGAATCGAGAAATGAGACGACGACCGGTTTTTCTTTTACTTCTATTATTTCAAAAAAACGAGTATATAATCATTAATTTAGTTTTGTTTTGAAAGTGATTTGAATTCAGACTTAAATTTTAGTTAAATATTTAAATTAAAAGCCTAAAGCAGTTATCGTAAATTTTTTTCATGAATCTTTCACAGAGCACTATAAAAATCCATGGAATTCCATGGAACTCGCAATATAATATTTTTCAATAAGTTTTTTCAATAAGTTTTAAAATTTTAAAAAGTTATCAAATAAGTAAAATTTTAAAGAAATCGAATGAATATAACAAATTGAAGCACATCAATAAAAATGATTTATTAAAACTCAAATACTAATATATAAACTGAATTAGGCTTTTTATATATCCCTTAAGAGATCCTAAGGAATCAATAGAAGACAGCTTGAAGATGTCCGAAGGGATTCATAGAGGCCATAGAGCTCAAGAATATCCCAAGAAGTCCATCTCATACATATCTATCCAAGGGATTCATAGAGGTGAGTTTAAATATATCCCAAGGGTTGATAAATAAATTGAAAAACAGGATAGAATAAAAAAATATAAATAAATGATTTAGCGAATGGATTCGTTGGTTCTAGAAATTCTCTCAGATTGTCAAACTGGCTTTTTTGAGTTTTTTTTGATTTTTCTAAATTTATTGCTAAAAATAATAGTTTTCTATTTGCTCGAGGAAAAGCTATCGCTATGCTTGGATTTATAATTTATGCAATTTGCTTTTAAAATAATTGCAATTTGCATTCGTAAAAATTAATTCTGTAAAAAATTTCAATTTTTTTATTCAATAATTTTTTCAATAATTATTTGCAATAATTTTCAAATATTTATACTTATTAAAACAAATATTTATAAAATAAAACAACAATAATAGATTTAATAAGATTTATTATGTAAAATATAAAACTAAATTTTTTAGTGACATTTCGTTTATACTTTTTCCATTTCCATTGTCGAGAATAAGATTATTTTAGTTTTTATTAAATTCGACAACCAGTTTTTACAGTAATCTTTTCCAATTGATTCAATTCATCGCTAGGTGAAAATTTTGAATTTAATTAATTCTAAAATATTAATAAAATTATTATGAAACGATTTATTTTCACTGAAAAGTCACTTAGCGGATCGATTTAAAGCGGGGGAAATATTCGATCGGTAATTTAAGAAAACTATGGTTTAAAGAATTTAGGAGTAAGATTGAACTCTTTTAAAGGACGATAGCCTTAAGCTTATGGATAACAGATATTATTTCTTCTTCTGTTGGCAGTTCGCAATTGCAAGCATATGGTTCAGCGAATGTATCACCTATATCAAGGACAACGGACAACGGCGCTTCATTTTTCTATTATCTCAGCTTTTGCTTAGAACCACTTTTTAAAGCACCTATTCACCTTTTCTTGTTAGATTCGCTCTGCTAGTTCTCCATTGTTATATTAGACAAGTCTTCCTAGGGAAAATAAGTTGCGGGAAAATAGTAATATAGGTGAGTTAGCAGTATTAATCGAATCGAATTTTTGAAAGATAGGTTCATTCCTATAGAAGCATCAGCATCGGCATTCCGAGCACTATAAATGCGAGTAACGATCAATGCACTGAGCCATTCAGCCAAATTTATTTGATCGGATAAAGCCAGCAGAGCGAGTCTGAGTAGAAATGGTGAGAAAACGCTTTTAGAAAGAATTTTATTTTGATATTATATATTTAGATATTATATATAAGAATTTTGATATTATATATTTTGAATTTAATATCGCGCTCTTATTATTTTATATTATCGCAAAAGGATTGTAAGTAATCTGTATTATAGGAATTTTTATTTTTAGATTGGTAAGATTGATTACTTCATATTTGTATGTTTTTGTGGTTGCAAACCTTACGGCTTGGAGTGTAATTTGGTGTAATTCTGAAAAAATCCATCCTTGGCTGGGTATATTTCACAAAAAGCGAATTGTACCTGCGATTCATATGTGTCCTTCGGTCCTTCGGTCGGCAGACGATTCCATGGCAAAATTTGTTTTCCCCGATAAGCGAATATTGTTAGAAATGATTAGTGCATTTGGGTAAAAGAAAATTATATTCCATTTTTCTTATAATATAAGCGATCAAATAGATTTTAAAATTTAGAATTTTCCGAAAATGAAAACGAATATTTTTAGATGTCCACTAACGAGCATGAAACAAATGAAATAAATAAGAATTCATCTATACAACTTAATTTCGATCGAAGTTGTTTAAAGAAAGAAGAGATTGAGAATAATGTGCTGAATGATTTTAATGGCATCGAAGTCGTTGCTTATAATTCTTCGACTCTCGAAAAAGAATTTTTCGAACAGGTAGGCAATAGTTCATTAGTAAGAATCACTACCATTAGCAAGGTGCTGCACGTTCGTTCTTCTTTCTATATATTGGAGCTCGTGGTACCATTGTGTTATCATCGGCACGTTCTCCGTCGTCCACCACGAGAGTTGTCGCATATTTCGTTACTTGCTAAACCGTATCATGGATGGCGTCAAAAGCGAGGTGGGCCAACCAAGAGGCCTGGACTGATATCGTCAAGAAAGATTTTGAACGTATAGGTGGACCAGCACCTATATGGACTTAGACGATGGAAAAAGGAATGGCTTCCATTACTGTCGACGATGGCATCAGACCGCGCCGCTTGGAAGCGTGTTACCCATGTAGCCGAAGCCAGCTTAACCAGTAAGTGTGAGAGCTGTTAGAAGAAGATATGCTTGCGAGAGTTCTTCTAACGAAAGTAAGTTATCTTTATGATAGGCAGCAAACTAACCAAACTAGAATTGAGATAAGTATTATTAGAAGAAGAAAAAAGATACATTAATGATAAAATTGTCAACTGAAGAGGAATAAATTACTCCGAATTCTTTCAATTGTCGAGCATCGAAGATTTTTATTTGTATACATGGTTAAAACAAAAGAAGGAATTCGCGATAAAATATAACAGCGTTAGTCAATAAAGAAGTGCGCGTTGGCTGAAAATTTAATGAATAGTTTTCAACAATTTTAGAATAATTTTTTTGCAAAACCGCTACAAATGGATCGAGAATTCTAGAAAACATTCGTTGGTACCTTTATTTTTCAGGTATCGGCTGCAATTCAACATGAATTTTGAAGCTAGTATTACTATTGTTTCGAAAAAACCCTTATAGATTACATTTTTTTATTGGCATTAGTTAAATATTCATTTTTTTTATGATCAGTGATTTATTTCCAGAGACTAATTTAACAGCTGGGTTTGGTGATTACTTTAATAAATATTATTTTTCTCATCTCCTGTTTGTTGCAATGACTGCAGCATATTTATTTTGAGTATCCTAATAAGCGAATTTTTATTTTCTGTACGGTTAGATTTTTGGTCGGATGTGGTCTTTCAAATGATTTTTCAGGTGTCAGCTGCACTTCAACATGAATCACCATCAACATCGTCAACCACTGCTAACCAGCGAAATTTACTTTTTATGAATATATTATCAAATGATAACAAATCTTTATCGAAGAGAAAGCGGTATGACGTGGCTAGATTGAATGTAAATCATGATGCTAAGCAGGTAATAATTTTATCATCAGAATGACTAGCTGAGCTTTCCTGGATTATTTCAGGATGAGGAAAATATTTTGGATACAGGCGAATCGGATGTTGAATCGGAATATGTTCCGAATTCATGCTCTGATGTCGAAAATTCTTCACATAGTAGTATATCAAATGAAACAAATAGAAAAAGTCAGTCGAAAAGCAATGGAAATTCCATTTCGAAAAATCAACGGAAACATTTCCGTAAACTTAAAGATGATGCAAATGATAGTGATTTTGAAAAAAGAATTAGGTTGGTTTTTGTCCTTCATTTATAATTTACTTATACTGCATGGATTAAAGGTATGAAAGGCAAGCAGCTCTCCATTGGTCAAAATAAACTTACTAAAAGTGAATTTAGGCAATCGGTCCCTATACATCCCAAAGCGATTCTTAAGCAAAAGAGATTGGCTACGATTAATTGAGATAGCTAAGGCTAAGAGAAAAATAGTGCATATTGTTAGATGATAAAGATGATAAAGAAATATTTTCTTCGCGTTCCCACTATTAACCCATAGAAATTTTGAAATAACTTTTCTGTTAATTATCGTATTAGGAGCTATAAAGCTAAATGTGAATCTAATGCGTTGGACGATCGAAAACTTCAAGACGATGGTCACTACATTGTGAAAAGTGGATTTTATGCACCGAAAGATTGTTGGAATAGATTATATCGGTAAATTTAACTGATTTTAATTTGTCCACTTCAAATTTCTGTTTCATCATTGCTCACTTTCTCGTTATGTATCTTTTTTAATGAAAATTTAGAAGATCTTAAACTTAGCTTCTGTTAAAAAAAATAACGAAATTAGGCCGAAATTCGATTTCAACTTGATCGATGCATTTTAGGCATTTTATCCTTTTTTTGTGAATTGAATTTCAAAGTTTTCGGTTTACAGATTTATATTTATTCATATTTTTAAGATATCAGAAAACTGGTGTGAAATGGTTATTAGAGCTTCATAATCTAGCCGTTGGTGGAATTCTTGCAGATGAAATGGGGTTGGGTAAAACTATTCAAGTGATAACGTTTTTGAGATCTCTTGCTTATACACAAGCAATAAATTCATCTGTCAAGTATTGCTCTTTTTGTTTTCTTGTTTTCTTTATTTAAATAATATCAGTTATCCTTTTCGATACTTATTTAATAGAATATTATTTAATAGAATTTATTATTCATTACAAGTTCTTTAAAATATTTTTTTTACAGTTATGATGGTCTTGGTCCTGTGTTGATAGTTTGTCCAACGACTGTGATGCATCAGTGGCTCGAAGAATTTCGCGAATGGTTTCCTGCATGTCGAGTTGCATTGTTGCACTCGAGTGGAAGTTTTCGTGATGGAAGTAATAAACTTATCAAGAAAATGAGTATTTTGAGAAAGTAAGCCTTATGTTTACTTTTAAAAATTAGATATGATTTGATTTAATTATCAGTTTTTTCTATCAGTTTTTTAATATTTAGTTTTTCTTTAAGAGATGGAGCAGTTACAATAACTTCCTATGGTATGTTTCTAAAAAAACATAATGAACTTACCAAAGTAAATTGGCACTACCTTATACTCGACGAGGGGCATAAGATTAGAAATCCGGAGGCCTTGGTAAGCTGACATATTAATCAATTGTTTTTCCAGTTTTTATATTTTACCACATTTATAGATTGTGTAGTGCAGTTTAAATATATATTTTCCTCATCATTTCAGATCACTCGCCTAGTAAAAACTGTTCGTACACCACATCGGCTAATTATCAGCGGTTCACCACTTCAAAATTCACTAAAGGAGATATGGTACAATTTTGACATTACATTTTTTTCGTTCCTATGTATAATGCAAATCACTTTAATAATCACTTTAATAATTAGTTAAGATGTTTTTTACTTTAGTATTTTTGTATATTTTATTATTAGGTCTCTATTTGATTTCATTTTTCCTGGTCGGCTTGGTATGCTTCAATCCTTCACTGAAAAATTCTCTATTCCAATTACTCAAGGAGGTTATGCTAATTCAAATCCGTTGCAGATTCGTATCGCTTATAAATGTGCTTGTACGTTAAGGTTCAGGCATTTTTTAAATTAGTTTTAAAACTTATTTCTTATTTTCTCATTCTTCAATTTTTATTTTATCTTCAATTTTTCATGGGATTTAAGATTGTCCATTATCATTCATAAATATGTTATATTTCTTGTATTATTGCCTCTATACTGAAAAAAGTGTTTAAACTTTGTAATATTGTATTTTATTTTTATGAGATGACAAGGCTTTGTATAGATCATTTTAGAGATGTTATAAATCCTTATATATTGCGAAGAATGAAGAGAGATGTTGAAAATTCAATAACTCTTCCTTCAAAGAACGAGCAGGTCGATTTAATATCTTATGAAAATCAATGAAATTTTGTGAATTAGTATTTTCAATTATATTAGTATATTCAAATTTTTTAGATCTCTTTAAATCTCTTTAGATACTATTTTGCGAGCTAACACCTTATCAACTATTCGTGTACAAACAGTATTTATCGTCACGTGAGTGTAAAAGAATTCGAGCGAGAAAAATCGATCCATTTGTTGGGTTGATGTCTCTGAGAAAATTATGTAATCATCCCGATCTATTAATAGGAAAGCCGCAAAACAGTAAGTTGTAAGCCATATTTTTCTATAACTGGGCAATTTTTTGGTTTTCCTCATCGTTTTCATCATTTTTTCCTTATTTCCATCTTTTTTTTCGTATTTTAACTTTTATTTTGATCGCTTTATCTTCATATGGTTGATTCATTGAATCTTTGATTGTTTGGTAATTTTACAGGTGATTTCGAAGGCGTTGAAGTTGAAGATAGTAGTTTTGGTGCAACGTGTAGGAGTGGGAAGATGCAGGTTTTCATTTTTCAAAATTTTAATATCTTCGTTCAAATTTCTTACTTTAATCTGTTTAGGTTTTGAAGTGCTTGCTAAAATTATGGAAAATGCAACATCACAAAGTATTATTGTTTTCACAAAGTCGTCAGATGCTTTCCATCTTGGAAAAATTTATCATACAGGAAAGGTATAATTTCTTTCTGTTTTATTAATTTCCTAAATGCAGATGAACTTTTATTATAAATATAAAGGCCTTTCAGGTATGAATATCTTCGACTTGACGGTTCTACGGCAATAGGTACTCGACAGTCATTGATTGACAAGTTTAATTCTGTAAATATTTTGTTACGTTCTATTTTATAATCTGTAATTCAGTTTTTTGTTGGAATGAAAATTGAAAACAAATATTTTGTAGGACGGTGAGATATTTGTTTTCCTTTTAACAACTCGAGTCGGTGGGTTGGGAATTAATTTAACTGGAGCCAACCGAGTAGTGATATATGACCCTGACTGGAATCCTTCAATCGATATACAGGTTAATTTTTTATCAGGCTAATTTTAGTTTTTATCTTGAAAAATACTTTCTCATTTTCCATTTTACATCATCTAAATAAAATTATTGAATTTGGAAAAAATAAAACCTGGGAGTGGACTTAAGTTTCAGGTTTTCAGGCTCGTGAAAGAGCTTGGCGCATTGGGCAGAATCGATCTGTGACAATTTACAGATTGTTATCAAGTGGAACTATCGAAGAAAAGATGTATCATAGGTAAATAAATTTTTATTCTCCATGTTTTAAAATTATTTTAATATTCAGCATTAAATTAACTATTGATTTTTGAATGAATCAAATAAATTTTCAGGCAAATATTCAAGCTTTATTTGTCGAATCGTGTACTTAGCAATCCGAAACAAGGACGCTTCTTTAAGACTAATGATCTCATTGAACTTTTCACATTGAGTATGTTTTTTGTTGTAAATTTTGTTGTTTATTACGATTTAATAATGTTATTTATTTAGATAACTTTATTTATGTGGACATTTGAAGATTTAAAAATTCAATTTAATTTAATTTCATTAAATTTTTTATTACTTAATTAGACGAAGAGAAGCCGAATAGCTTAAAAAGTACAGAAACAGCTGAAATATTTTGGAATGCCAAGGAAATAAATCGAAAAAATATGTTCGATGAACTGGAAATGAGGTAGAATACGAGTTTCACATCTATTCTTTCTATTCTTCTATCTCTTTTGGTGGAGATTTCAAGAAATTTCGTTTTTCAATTTGAATTATCTTTTAGATCAAAAAAATCCACGAAAAAGAAGCATTGTGCAAGCGTGTTAATTGCGGACTCTGACGACGATGATGAAGAAACGAAGGATATGATCGGGAAATACTTATCTCCTGAACGAATCGAAGAATTAAGGAGGATCGCTCGAAGGATAAATAGGTTAAAGAAATTAATATTCGTATATTTTTTATTGTATTTTAATTTAAAATTTTAAAGATTTTTTTTAGAGTTTTTTTCATGAATTCGAACAATGCAGTCTCAAATTCTAAAAAGACTTCAGAGATTGTAAAATCAGAAAATAAGGAAATTGGAAAAATTCCATATTTAAGGAAAAGAAAATGGTGTAAGATACCGACAGATGAAGACGAAGATTTTAATTGCCAGGTATATCATGTATCATTACTGCTAATGAAGGCCATGAATATTCTTACGAAAATTCTTAATTCATTTATGCAAAATTATTTATTTTTAATTATTATTTTTCACTGTAATCGATTGCAGAACGATTATGTCCTTCAAAAGTTGTTAAAAAATTCTGCTTTGCATTCAGCACTTCAGCATGATCAGATAGCTGAAGGTATTGCTGAGGAACGTTTGATTGAAGACGAAGCAAATGAAATTGCCAAACAAGCTTCTGATTATCTTAAATTAACGAAGAGGTATATAGTAAATTTGGTTTTTTAAAATAGTTTTGGGAAAAAAATTTCGCTTATTTTTTCACTTTTGTATTGTCGAGAAATTTTTTTTTCATATTTGGTAATGATATTAATAGTAATATCAATAATATAATAATAAAACTTTAGTCATTTGGCAAAAAAAATCGATTTTCTGGTAATTCCAAAGTCCAACAACAGTAGTTTTTTCAAGACACGAGGAAATCGAAAGAGGTACTCTATGAGAATGTAAAATTGAGAAATCAGTTTCATAGTATTTGAAATTATTTTAATTCATTCATAGATCTTTTATTTATATATTGGCACTTTCTTCTTCTTCTTCTTCTAACAGCTCTTACTGGTTAGGCTTGCTCCAACGGCTACAAGGGTAAGACGCTTCCAAGCGGCGCGGTCTGATGCCATCGTCGACAGTAATGGAAGCCATTCCTTTTTCCATCGTCTAAGTCCATATATTGCTGGTCCTCCTGTACGTTCAAAATCTTTTCTCACCGTATCAGTCTAGGTCTTGATTGGCCCACCTCGCTTTTGACGCCAACCGTTACACGGTTTAGCAAATAACGAAATATGCGTCAACTCGTGTGGTGGACGACGGAGAATGTGCCCTAACCAGCGAAGGCCGCGTTCAGTGATAACATTATGCAAGTGGTATTTGAACGAAGGTGGATGCGATGTAGTGAGATTTTATCCACTCGGCGAACCCGTAATATGTACCTTAGACAAGAGTGGTCAAAGGCAGATAACTTCTTAATATCCTCCACTCTCATTGGCTATGTCTCAGAACCATATAATAAGATCGAACGGATCACGGCAATATAGATGCGGATTTTCGTTTTTATGGTGATTTCACGACGATTCCATAAAGGTTTTATCAACCGGAAGAACGCATATCTAGCTGCCGTGATCCGAGTTATAATATCATCTTTTGCCTGTCCATTTGGTATTAGAGTGGACCCAAGGTATTTGAAATCAGGCACTTCCTCAACCGGCAATGAATTTACAAAAAGAGGCTTTTTATCAGCTTCTTGCACATAAGACGAAAAGACTTTCGTTTTATTTACATTGATCCTGAGTCCAGTTCTTGCTGCAGTTTCTGACACGTTATTTAGTATTACTTGCATTTCGTTATAACTGTAAGCAAAAAAGGACTACATCATCAGCGTATTCAAGATCTGTGATACGATGCTCTGGACTAATTCGGACACCTCATGAGTGCCGACAAGCAATGTCCATTATCCAGCCTATCGCATAGATGAATATTGTGGGGGAAAGGACGCAGCCCTGACGGACACCTGTTCTTATTTCGAAGGAATCTGTCAGCTCCCCATATACACAGACCTGCGCCGACGTGCGGTCATAAAATGCCTTTATGAGTCTAATGATTTTCTCTGGAACACCATCACGTTCCATCACCCTCCAAAGCGCCGCTCTATCAATTGAATGAAAGGCAGCCGTAAAGTCGATGAAACACGTGACAGTGGGTTGCAAATATTTGAAACGATGTTCCAACACCCTTCTTAACCTGAATATCTGGTCAGCACAACCGCGCCCTGGTCTGAAACCAGCTTGATTAGGGCGCATCCTGGTGTCTTCCATAAGACTGTTGAGTAGCAGGGAAGCAAAGATTTTTGCTGAGACGTCTAATAGGCTGATTCCTTGATAATTGTCGCAACATGTCCTATCACCTTTCTTGAGAATTGGGAGAAAAATTGCTTTGCTCCAATCATCTGGTAATATTTCTTTTTCCCATACTAGAGAGCACATTTGTTGAAGGTGCGTTATGAAGGACAATGGACAGCATTTGAAAAGCTCAACCCGAAGACCATCTTCTCCTGGAGTTTTGTTGGCCTTAAGCTTATGGATAACTGAAATTATTTCTTCTTCTGTTGGAGGCAAACGTATTGCAAACGTATGCTTCGGCAAACGTATCAGCTATATCAGGGGCAACAGATGGCGCTTCATGGTTAAGTTTGGCCTCAAAGAATTTTTTCTTATGAGGCGATCCTTAATACTTTTAATTAGAACGCCATTGCTGTCTCTTACCATTTCACTGATCGTTCCCCGAGTCATAGTTGCTTTATGAAGAAGGCAGAATAGTTTCCTATTGTCGCCCAATCGATCCGCCGCCTCCATTCTTGAGGCCATGTCACTCCAATAGAGATTTCTGTCCCGCCTTGCTGCTTTCGTTGCAAATCTTCGAAGCACCCGGTATTCAGGATCAGCTGACATTCGTGCCTTGGCAGCTTTTTCAGACAATTGGACAGTTGCTTCTGATACCCAACTAGCGCACTTCCTACTAGTATGCCCTAGCGTGGAAGTGGCTGATTTTCGGAGACATTCCTTTAGTTTGCACCAGTATTCATTTGCCGTTCCAGAGAAATCATTGATATTTGTATCAGTGAGATGCTTCAATAATTCAGTTTGAAATGCGCTCACTGTCCTCGAATTTTTTAGTCATGGTCAGATCCATGAAGATTGCCCTTTTCAGCTCCGCGATAGGAACAACTATCTAGTACGGAACTCTTCCAACGGCGATTGACTAAGATATAATCAATCTGGTTGAAGTGTTGGTTGTCCGGGGAATTCCACGGATATATATTGGCACAAGCCTATCTATGTCATTTTAAATGAAAAAATTATAGGTAAATTCAAATTCAATTTTCTCCAGTAATTTTTCTTAAATTTGCAGGCCGAGCAACATTTTGTTTGGGTTAGATCAACCTGACTCTGCCCATTTGCCTCAGAAACCTAATGACAGCCTGTTGCAAGACATGGAGGTTATGGTTTTGAATTTCTAGGAAAATTTTTTTGCTTTTTTTCTTTGATTTTTTCTTTGATTTTAATTTTATTTAATTCAGGTCCAGCAACGGGTAAATTTTACTGCAACTCCAGTTAGGAGCCTGCAAAAACTCACAGAAAAAAAAATCGATCGTTTTGACCGAATCGCTAACAATATTCGTTCGTTTCTATTGTCAAAAAATGGTACAGCAACTACGAACGAGATCATCACCGTGTTTAAGGTATAAATTTGTTTTCAACGATTTTTGCAGTTTATTATCAATATTAAATGTAAAAGTGCAAAAAATTAAAGATCGTTTCAGGATGAAGTCCACATCAAGGATTCTCATGTTTTTCGTTCTACTCTTAAAAACTTATGCCATTTTAAAAGTGCAACGTGTGTATGGATTTTGAAAGATGAATACCGCTAATTACTTTTATCGTAACAGTATAAACTTGCTAATAATAATGATCTCTTATTGTTAATTTGGCAATACAAGAATGATCAAATATCATTTTTAGAGTTGACTGAATTAAATACTCTATAAATTTTGATATTCTATAAAAGAATTCTACCATTATTTTACTGTTAATTTTATTTTTTAACCACAGATTTTTATTTTTAATGATATCAAAAATAAAAAACAAAATTCAATTTCTCTCAACATCATTCATCATTAAATTGTCATTTTGAATTGTATAAAATATTAGTTTTTTTCAGAAGTAACTGCACGGCTTATGGATAATTTATTATAAATTATCTAAATAATATGTTGTTTTATGTTGTTATATGATGTTTTCCCCCCTTAAATCTTTATTCTTATTCTTAAATTAACCCTCTACAAACCCTTTAATTCATTTCTCTTTATTTCGAAATTCTTTTTTCCTTTCGACCAATTATCCCTTAGGCTCTATATATATGTAAAGAGGGTTTTTAAGTGAGGTCCAAAGACTTAGAGTCCTAGGATGGATTTCAAGAGATCCACATAAGAAATATCTTAAATGTTAATTTCTCATTTTTCAAAATGATATCATATTGAAAATGGTTTCGAATTTTAAAAATTAAACAAATCAATTGCTTTGAGGATTACTTATTGTAGCTGGAATTACTAAAAAGAATGCAATAATAAATATAGTTGCGAAGAAAAAAAGTACTAAGAGAAATCTGTCCACTACAGTCGCTAATTGTCGCCATTGCCACATAATTCGTTTCCTTTCATCCATTATCTTCAATAATACATAAATTAATATATACATAAATTAATATAATGCAATGAACGGTAGAAGTTGGTTTTTTTTAGTGAACGATTATGTATATGTATATGTATTACTTTAGCTGAGGCTAAACATTCAATATATGAAAGATAATCAGACTAAGACTGAGGTGCAGTGGTGCACAACGGTCTACTTCAACGTTTACCAAAAGTGCATTACCTCTTCTCTAATTTCATATTGCTGTAAACTTTTATATATATCTTTGAGGATTGATCGAAAACGTGTTTCAAAATCTGATAAAATTTTTGGTCGATTTTCATCCATTCCTGATTTTAACTATAAAAATCGAATAGATTTAGAAAATACTTTGAAGTACCAATTTTAAATACTCTAAATTTACATAATAAAGTTTTATCGTTAAATTATTTCTAATAAATTAATTAATAATATTTATTTTCGGAAGCGATATTTGTATTTATGAAAGTAAATTTTAATGAAATTTTTGATATAATAAATATATACTTAGTATATGAATAATTTTTCATTAATTTATTTGAAATTTAATTTGATTTAACTTTACCTGTTGCCTAACGAAATTGCTAATAAACGAAGTGTCTGACGTTCGTTGAGATGACTGATTAAGGCTTCTTATTGGTGATAAATCCGTATCATTATTAATCATCTAAAATTTTAATTAAATATTATCGATTAAGAAATTTGTTTTTATTATTATTATGCACGATTATTTATATTTATAAGAACATCGCTGTTGATTACTAAAAACGATATTAGTTAAATTTAGAGCTATTTTATCAGTTTCGCATTTTTTATAACAATCATATTAAATTTATCATTAAAATTAACTTTTTTACAGAAATGTTCGCATGGACAATTCGAATCATTTTGTCGTTTTGGCTTAGATATACTTCTAATACTTTTCCAACTTCGAATTGTACTATATCTCCTCGAATTTTTATCCTGAATTATGTCCCACCCTATAGAAAATTGTTATTTATAAAGAAAATTTCATTTTTTTATAGAACTATTACTTACTTGAGGCATTTTTAATATTGTAATTGTATTTGGTTCACGTATTGATAATCTAACAAATGAAGCCATATAACCAAGAATATATTTTTCCATCCACCATGAGATACGCTTTCCTTGATTCGTTATTCCCTTACGATTCACATTTAAAATAATGACATTGATAAAAGTTGCGAAGCATACCATAAATAGCGACATTACATAATACATTCCTAAGTAGTATATTTATCAGTGGATATCAATATTAATCTTTTAGGACCAATAGCGCCTTAATTCAATAAAATAAATGGAATGTGGAGTTAGCCGTAGGACGGAAGCCTATCTTCTCTAAACAACAAAACGTTTATAAAAGAGAAAATCGCTCTCTTTTTGCAGGATAAAACGAATAGTAGCTGAAATAGGCGATAAGATGAAATCACTACTCGGATTCATTAATTAATCCTATCCTTTTAGAATGAAATTGCAAAACTCGCAAAGTATAACGGTGATGACTGATGCTCTTTTTTTTATATCAAAACCTTGCTGAAAAAGTACTCTTTCCCAATGAAATCAAAATGACCATCATCATAAAATTTTTATCCATATTTTAAATATTTTTAAGATATTTAATATAAATATTAAAATATATTAAAATATTAAATATAAATATTTAAATATTTTTTATTTTTTATTTAATATTTCTGCAGATAATATATATAATAATATATATAATTAATATATATATAATAAAAATATATAAATATATTAACCTATTAACGGCACAGCTTCGGAAGTTGGTGGTATTGACTCCGTTATTGACTGAAATAATTTATGCATTATCAAAAAGAAAATTTCCCCCATTTTTTGATAAACAATTTAATGGATTTAATTTATGAATGTTCCATATTGTTGTTAAATTTGATTGGTAATTTCGATCGAAAAAAAATTAAATATTCGCGATAAGAAAATAAAAATTACTATTTTTTCTGGCAATTTTTAATGGAATTGTATAAAATTCTTTAAAAATGATTCTTCTTTCTCAATAAAGGAAAGTGATATAATATTTTCCCTAAAGATTTATTCAAATATTCAGCAATATTCGTGCAGAATAAAATAGCCTACTTGAAGATAAACTCCCATGCTTAATATAGTAGTAATACACATGTTTATTTTTTCCCCGGTTTCAGGTGGCATTAAAAATGCTAAAATCGCCATCGATGATATTAAAACACATGGAAGTATCTTAAAAAAAAAATGAATAAGTATTTATTAAAAAACAATTTTTAATAAAATGTTATTTGGAATTTTTAAAAGTCGAACTGCATTAGGTGAGTAATGCGTCCATCAAAACAGAAATACTTAATTTTATTAAATTGTTATCTTTAGAATTGTTTTTGCTTATTATCGTTCCACAGTATTTAAATATTTTTATTTTCATTTTATTTTTTATTTTATTTTATTTTTTTACTTAAATATTATATATATATATATATATAATATTTTTATTTGCAGTAAAAAAATTATTCATAATTATTGAAAGATTTTTATCAGTGGTGTCAGCTCTAACTCTAACTGTGACAAGTCAGCAGTGATTTTATAAGTGACTTATCAGCCTCCAATTAATGTTTTAATATTTTTGCAAAATTTCAAAATTTATTTCAAAATTTATTTCTATTTCTATTTTATTATTCTCATTTTACATATTATCTTGCTCTCATTTTGTTTCTTTTTTTATAAAAATAAACTGTATGGTTTATAAAAAATAACTATCAAATTATAAATTCTGTGAGATTGCAAGTGACCAACGGAAATTTACGTGATTAAAAACATAGAACAACGGTCGACGATGCATATGGATTTTGATGACAATAACTGGCCAATCTTTAGATGGATTTATCGGAAATTTGATTATCTGTAAGCATTATCAGTCGAGAAATCATATCATTTAAAAGTCTGATTGATCTTTATCAATGCAAAAAAAAAATATTGTTAAATGTTTTAGAGGATGTTAAATTTGCGGGAAAATTTTCTCATCCCAACAAAATGTCGATACTTACTTCTCGAGTTGCTGTCATTTCCAATAAGTCAAACTCACTATTGTTCATATAACTCGATAAATCACCTTTATCAGTGACTAAATTTAAATCCATTTCAGTTATATCATGCGACCATGATGCAAATCGTAGCTCACATTCCTGAATATACTGATTCATAAATATTTAATAAATCATTCCTCCGAGGCAGTTTACTGATAAAGATTCAGTTCAATACTTAGACATTTTTTTTAAAACAGGAGTGACGAAAAAGCAAATATGAGCAATGAGACTATCGGCTATTAATTATTACTTGTTTTCTCCTTTTTTTCACCAACCACTTCTTGTTTGATTAAAGTCATTACATTACTTATTAGGATGAAACCAATAACTCACCTGGAGATGGATATAGCCTGGATCTTACTTTTAGTATGATTATCTGGTTTCTCTCAGAGTTCTTCCGAAGGAACATTAATTATGTTAATTAATTAATTATGTTCTTTGTATAGGAAAAGGATTTATAGCACTAAGAATTTTCGTTGGGAGCACGGCGATTCCCGTTCCAATATTCTACCTTTATAAAAATTCCTTTTGGGCATCCGCTCCACTATCTTTTTCTGTATAGATTTAACTTTCCTAAATTTAACGCGAGACTTTTATTTTTTATTAATATTATAAAACTCTGCGGCCAGCGTTCTATTTCTTACTTTTCTCGTTGCGAACCTCAAACTTGGGTAATTAAACCATTATCTTATTCTTATTACTCTTGTTTTATTCGATATTGGCAGCAAAACAATCAGTTCGACGACTGTGTGTGGAATACTGCATGAAATAACGTAAAAACAACTTTCCATCATCTATTTTGCCTAATCAAAGTATTCGATTAGTGGATATTTGATTAGTGCTACGAAAAAATTTAGATATTTGATTAGCGTTACGAAGAAAAGGATAGATAGAATAAAGAGATGTTGTACTAAAATTGAATAGATCATTGTTAGTGCCGAAAACTTCTATTGTTGAATAACGAAAGCGGAATTTCAGCAGAAAATTACATCATTAGATCTTTTCAAAAAATAGTTATAGTTCAAATACTAATTCAGTTTATAGTATCATAAAATGGAATGGCTAAATTGAGACTTCGCTGATTCGTTAGATCAGACAAATTTTTCCAAGAAATCATTCGATGATTAAAATAAAGAATGCATCGTCCAGCATCACCTGGTTTCTTAAAATACTGCATTATTGCAAGAACCCAAACATCACGTGGTTTTTTGAAATGCTGTATTATTGCAAGAACATCTATTCCGATATTAGAAAAAATTACCTGATCATCAAATGGATAATAGCGAACTCGAATTTGACAAGAAGATTTAAATATTGCTGAGAATAACCAAGTAATATTACCATCGTTCGTTGTCATTATATCTGTACTCACAATAGCATCACGATAATGCCGAACTGCACTGAATTCTTTTTTCAATTCTTATTATAAATTTCACCTTTGCCCTTTAAGATTTTAGAACCTTTAAGAAAAAAGATCTAAGATTTTTAAAAAATTTTGTGATTTTGTAATGGTATTTTAAAAATCTCACAAGAATTTCTTGTTTATTATAAGGTTTTTTAAAATATTATTCCAATTAATTTTAGGAAAAATATATACAGGTAAAATGAATTAAATGGATTTTTGTTGGATTGGAAATGGATTTTGGATAAATTTTCGCAAATTTTTTTCAGTTTTTTTCTTATTTATATATTCAAAAATTGTTATACACATTTCAAAGAAAAAATTTTTCAAATTCAGAGAAAAAAAAATTCACTAAGAATCGACGAATATCGCTAAATAATAAATTATTAATTTTTATGAAATATTTAAAATTTTACGAAAGAAATTGCAAAAGTCTTGAAGTTTAACGCCAATATGTACGAGGCTGATAAAATCATAAAAAGCTCAATCATAAAAAGTAAAAAAGTAAAAATTCATGGAATTAATGGATCAAAATAATGTGTTTTTATAATTAAAAAATACTCAAAAATTCTGAAATCTTCATGCTGAATCTTTTTTTCAACACAAATTTAATAATAGTGCTTACTTATTGACCAGTATTATGTCCGGTTTCCATAATTTTTCATATGGCACATACATTGTTTTTATGCCTCGCCATCGGGTGACATTCCATTTTAAACGAGGATCCATCCAATTAATGTTAAGCCAGCTTCGCGTCGTTAGGATTTGATTACGCTCATCCTCAAAAAAAAAAATCTATAGGAAAAAAGTTTCAAAAATTAATTGAGCTTAAACTTTGGACCAAACACAAATAAAAACTCTTACTCTTATATATATTATAATTGAACATAAACTATATGAATTGTATGCAGTTTAATATTTTTGAGAATTCTTAAAATCAGGCGTTATCACCGAAATTGACGAAGAAATAAAGCTAGTTTTTTAAGGTGTATTAGAAAAAAAAGAAAACCATTTCAACGATTTGGTTTAGCAAAAATCCAAAAGTAATATTCGTTGGGATCGTATGATGTAAAGTTGGTCGCACATCTTTTTCATAATATTGCGGATTTAACAGCAATTTGTAAAGCATTTCTTCAGCTCCATCAGCGATTGCTTCTATATATTTATTTTTAATTTTAATTTTTTTAGAGTAATTTTTAAAATTTTTTTGAGATAAAAATCTTAAAGATTCTAGAAGAAATAATTTAAAATTATATTCAATGGAATATTTGACGAATGAAAGTAAAATGGACTCAATAAAGGAACGTAGCATCACTTTCAAAGACTGTCTTTTGATTCTAGCCTTATTCGTGGTAGCAAGATCTTTTTCGAATCAACTACTAACTGATACTAATATATTCATGCTCACTGGAAGTCTTTGGAAATATTGATAAGTGCTATAAATATCTCCAAAAGTTTCACAAATTGAAAGCCTTTGGAACTGATAAGTAATCCATTCTTTTGATTTTTTGATTTTTTATGCAAAATTTCAATTATACTATCGATTTAAAATAATTAACTTTTTTTTTATGTACTTTGTGAAATTTCAAATTGATTAATTTAAAATGTCATTATTTAAAGAAAAAAAACTGTTGAAAACAAAAATTACTAATTGTTTGAATAAATGAACTTTACATAATGTAAAGTGAAATGCATGCAATTGACGGATCGATTCGAAAAAATATTAAATTACTTTTTAAATAAGAAAATATATTTTCAACAATAAGCAGCGGATAAAATGAATGACCAAATTAATGATGGCGAAAAGCCAGAGATTTGTGATAATTATTTATTTATTAATATTAATTATTAAAATTATTCATTAAAATCTAGCAAAATTTAATATACAAGTTTCGCATATGAAAAGATAAAAGATAAAGAAGAGAAAGGTTCAAAAAAAAGATATTTTCGTTTTTCTGATACCATTTTTAGTTCGAGTGAGTTTATTTGCTATTAGATTGAGACTAATGTCAATTGGTGATAGTAAAATGTACTATAATAAGACGAAAATAAAAAAGGCTTACTTTTACGAAGTACTGCTTTCACTTCTTCTGCGAATGCTTCTGATAGAAGAATCTTTTCATTAAAAGTATTATTTACGGATGATCGCAAAAAATAATCACTTATCAAAGATTTCGAATAGCCTTCAGCTGATTGGGGGGGATTTTTTGATATTTTTGAAGGAAATAATGTTCGATTTTTCGAAATCTGCGTACGACTATGAATTCCACTAGGTGATGAAAATTTTTTTCTACTTTTCACATTTTTCTTAATGGTGAAATTTTTTTGACGATTTGTAAAAGAATGCCTTCGCATATGCCTTTGTGTAGATAGTTTAGATAGAGTGAAATTTCTTGTTAAGGAAAGATGAGTTGTATGATTCCACTTCTCTTCTTCACGTTTTATAGTTGTAGTAAAAGTCAAATGATTCTCAGTGACCGAGGTAGAAAAATTATTTATATTTGCATTGCAGTTACAATAAATTAGAAATAAAAATGGAAAACTAAAAATGGATTTCGATGTCATTTGTAGATTCTTATTAATTATTCACCGAATTATGTTATATTTAATATTTGCACCAAAGAAAAATATTCTTTTGTTTAGGCGTGGCTTTTCTATTGCCATCAATAAATCGGCAAAAAGCCTGAAAAATCTGAAATTATTTATTTACTGACTAACTGACAGATTGCTTTGTGAAATATGAAAGCATTTTTATCTAATAAAATGCAAGATTTGTTGCATTTAAACCTTTGGATTTCATTTCCATTCCCTACACTTTTGGATCTTCTTGTTTCCATTTCCTTCTGCTGGAAGGTCACTCGGTGATAGAAGAACAGATGGATAGCTAACATCTAGGTGGATTTTGGTTTAAATGGTAGGTTCAGTGCAGCCAAAAATCGAGCCTATCGAAGTGCATTCAGAGGAAGCAACTTAACAAACATTCTCCAATTTAGATTCTCTTGAAATGAATAAAGCGATAATTTCGACTTTTCAATAAATATCAAAATCCTTTAAAAAATAAATTAGGAAGGAATTTAATTTAATAAAATTTAATATTTCATTTAACAGCTTATTAAATTCGAATTCATGAAATAAAATAAAATTTTATTGTGACAAAAGGTTGTGACAAAAAAAATGGATAATAAAACTGCTAAATCATTGTAACAATGACTCTACAAAGAAGAAATAAACGATAAAATTAAATGAAAGAAGCAAAATGGAGTCAATTTCTTATTCTTAGGAAGAAATATCATTATTAAGAGCGAAATCCCTGGTGAGATGGCTCCATGTAAGCCCATAAATTATAAAATTTTTGATGATTCAGTATGATGAAATCTTAATAAAATTAAAGATGAAATTCTTCATAAACTATTTCTCTAGTTAAAATAAAATTCAAACAGGCAGATTTATTACAAATAGTTGAAGAGATTATACATACATAAGTAAACCATAAATTATTGCGCTTGGAGGATGCTTAAATAAAAAATATGTTTAAATAAATAGCCTATAGGTGCAAATAAAAAATCATGCATCGTCATGAGAAAACACATGAGCTAATTAAAGTCATTGTGATGATATTCAGTAGTAAACTAATTAAATCGAGAGAGGAAGCTGAAATTCAAATAAATAAATGATATTCTTAAATAAATGATATTCTAAAATATCTTGCATAAAACACGATATTTGCCATTTGTAAATATGCGAAATACTTTATTTCTTTCAAAAATAATTTAAAAAATTTTAATTAATATAATTTTGTTCGAATAATTTTGTTCGAATAGTTGCCAAATGCAGTCTATTATTCACATCATTTTTTATAATTAAAATATTTCATTCATATATTTATGTATTTGACGACTATATGATTGAAAAACTCTGAGAAAGCAAGCAACTTATATTCGAATTTCCTTGATAAAAAAAAATGATAAAATTATATGGGAAAAGAAGAAGAGTCAACCTATATGAACCTCTAACACGTGGAATTTTTAATTTGAAAATAGAGCTGTAGCTTGGAGATTTCTATAAAAATCGTAATTGCATTGATAAAAGTGATAACATTGATAAATTTAAGTAAAATTGAACAAAATTGCCACAAAATAGGATTTTAAATTTTTAAAGACATTCTCTTATAAATTATAAATTTTATAAATTTTCTTTTGAAAAAATCCTTTCATTTGAATATTTTTTATTTCTATGAAAATTCATCATTTCTAGTTAGATTCACTATACTCGTTGGACAAGAAAAATTTTGCAAAATAGAAATAAAAGAAAAAATAATATAGATCAGTTGGATTTTTGAAAGACAAGTTTGATCATATGCCGAGATGTATAAGATTTCAGCAACAATACTCGGAAATGACAGTAAGAAGCCATATGCTATTCTACTTGTCTAAATAATTCCCAGTAATCAATTTTTTCAAATGGAATTTAGAATTGTGAGAAGAAATTCAAAACAAGAACTCAAAAAATTTTCGTTTTTTTTAAAGTGATAAGTGAAAAGTGATAAAAATAATAAAAACGAAGAAAAAGACGAATGTAAAGCAACTGAAGTTAATACATAAAACTAAACTAAAGGATTAAGAAAAAATTGAAGTGAAAAATTGAAGAAGGAATCATCATGAAATTTCAAATTCCTTTTATATCATTCGATTACAATTTCTATTTCAACTAAATCCTCACTAATCGAGAAGAGAGCGAATCTCTTCGAAGTTGCCTAAAGAAATTGACAACCTTCTATTTCCTAATAGTGAAATTGTCAAAAATTGTGAAACTTTGCGACTTTTCAATGATTTTTTAGCCTTCAATTTTTTTTTACGGAGCATTAAGCATTATTTTTTAGACTCGCTCCTCTGATTTCTCACATTAGGCAAATTTACTAAAGAATCTATTAGAAGTGTAAATAGAGAAGTACAATGATAGAAGCACAGCTGTCAGCACCATCCGGATTTTTTTGGACATAAGTTTATTCGTCCTCAACAGTGGAGTCTCAACTTCGTGAAACTCCAAGTTAAGCACCAACCCACTGAGCCATTTTATTCTCCTTTGTTTTTCTCTGCTATTTGAAACTGCTCGCTAGACATGGAATGATGCGGGGCGTATCGAACCCAAGCGTCGATTTTCGGCGGCAATTATCTTTTCATCGAAAATCCATTTGTATAAATCCATTTTAATTGACAAAAAAATTAGAAATAGAAAAAATTGAAAATGCTCAATAAATAAGAAATATGAAAAATATGAAAATATAGCAAAAACTGATTTGAATCTGATTTATAAAATATATAAATTTTAAAAAATATAAATATCTAACTTTGGAATTGCATAGCGAATGATTTATCATTCTAACTAAAAAACATGGATCATTTTTGTAATAGGGATCTTAATTTACGCTTGAAAGGATTAATTTATTTTAATTTATGCGAATAATAAATTGTGAAAATATTTCTGAACACATAGATAAACAAGAAAATATATATCATACATACATAAACGTACTTTTTGGATGGAAGAAAGAATGGTTTAATGATATTCTCTTATCATATCATCGATCGAAGTCATATCTAAATCATATTCCGTGGGCTCTGCCTCTGACAAAAGTAAATCTACCATCAAAAATAAAATTCATGGCAGTGCTAGAGACCGACTTATGCTTTCTATAAATGAACCTATCTATCTTCAACTGTCTTTCTTATAAAAAGCTATATATAAACTACCGACTGAGCCAAACCAAGAGTGATTACTATTGTTAAGAAAAAGCAGAAAAAATGCTCAATAAATAAGAAATTTGGAGTTGTGACAATCGTAAGCAAACTTACACTAATTTTAAAATATATTTTTGAGAGAATTAAAGAATTTTTGTAAAACAGCAAAAAATGATTCGAATCTGATTTATAAAACAGAAATTTTGAAATATATAAAAATATATGAAATATATGCATATGATAATAATTCTTTTTAGAATTAGATAAATAAATTAATAATAAATAAATAATAATAATAAATTTTCTTATTGCATTACTAAATGAAAAAACATGAATAATACGATTTACATTAAAAATTTAGAAATCTTTTACGATAAGAAATTTTGAAATGAGTGAAATGTGGAAAAAATTATTCTGGAAAATTTATATTCAAAAATGTGGTTTCTTTTTTTAGGTATTTTTGGTATTTTAATTTTTCTCTCGCATTAAAATCACTTATAACCACTTATTCCTTATTGAAATTACAACTAGTTAAAGGAGGCAGAATTCAAACATTTTTGGTTTCTAGAGCTAT